CGTAGAAGAAATTTCATTTGAATTAGATTCCTAGTTGAGTTAAAAATGGCAACCGAGTTAGAAACGAGACAAACCATTTTGCATGAGTTTATAAATGATCCGGCCTTAAGTACACGTAAAATTGCTAAAAATTAAAGCTTGCACTATTCGACAGTTTGCAGGGTTTTAATCGGTACAAATAAGGCCTGACAGTTACGAGAAAACCAGGGAGCGGGGGTTAGCATGGTCAAAGTGATAAAAACAGTGCTCGGAAGGTCCTCAGTGCGTTTACGCGAGATCCGAAGATTTTGTCGCGTTATGTTGCAAAATCCGTACGGAGATCGCAGTTTTTCGTATAAATGGTAAAGCGGAAAGCTTCATTAAGATGTTCTACAGCTCAAACAGCGCCAGACCGATGCGCAAAGTAGAATGTTACAGCGAAATCCCGCAGTCGGAAGTTGTATGAATTCTAAATTAAAAAAATGCAACTGCATTGTTATGGACTACGAAACCTACTGCTTTAAAAATTCAAAATATATTGCAGGTCAAGATTTTTATACTGCTGCAAGTCGTCAAGATGCCTCTGAAAGTTGTAAGCTGAAAACTTCTATCATTTATCAACAGATAAGGTAGTGGGCCACTGTTCTAGCCGGACATGGCAAGCTGCCACCATGCCAAAGACACATTGCCGTGGTATAATGCAAACAACATCAATTTTGTACCTCACGACTGCAATCCACCCAATTGCCCAGAGCTACGTCCTATTGGGGAATATTGGTCAATTGTCAAAGGAATCTTGAAGAAAACAGGTGAAACAGTGAAAAATATTGAAGAGTGCAAAACAAAGTAGTTGTGCGCATCGCGAAAAGTCGATGATGCAGTCGTGCAGAACATGATGGCGCGTGTGCGATGAAAATACCGATCACTTGCATATAATATATAATAACTAATATTTTAACATGTTAATAATAATAATCTAAACTTCCAAGTTATATAATACAAAAAAAATAATTTCAAAGCCTTATAGTTTGTTTCTGGTAGTAATCTCTAAGTGTCGCAGTTATGGTGTGTTCACTGTGTTTATTAAGCATAAAAAATACATACATATTTACATAAATAGTTACTAGTGTAAATAAAACATATGTATATGGTGGTTAGAATTTCCTAAAAAGAAAGGATGAAAGAGGAACAGTCGTGCGAAAACCCAGGTTAATATCTGCTGGAAGTACGGTTTCAGTATACTGCTTTGCTTTTTCCTTGGCTAAATAGATACTTTCAAATCCACTGAGAAACCCCGGTTGGCATCAAACTTTATATTTTTAGCTAACTATGCGCACACCGAAACAACTCGCGGCGATGGCAAAACTGAAACTGAGACAAACAAGTCTGGGCATGTCATAGCACGCACTTTTCTTTCTCTACCTAGCGCAGTG